CACGCAAACCATTTAGTTCGCCCATATAGAAACCATCATCGTCCATCTCACCGTACACCGTGATGATATCACCTTGTCGGAAGGACAATTCAACCTTAAAGTAACAAGCACTTATCCGAATCAGCACATCCTCTAAAAGCGGTATAGCTTTCACCTGTTCTGCGTCCACATTTGGACTTAGCTGTCGAGAATCGTAGTCGAATTTGGCCACCATTTTCCTCGTCGGCACGCCATTAATACTACAAAAGAACACAATGAGTGAGCGACGTTTTAAAGAGCTTGGTAAGGATGCGGATTACAATTACAATAGTGATCTAAAAGAAACTGCAGTTTAATATGTATTTGGCAATCGAAATAGCAGAGATCATAATGTCGGACAACATGTAATATAGGACATTGGGCTGTTAATCCACTGTATAGAGGCTTTGAACTGGAGTAAAAGAAGCCAAAATTTGTAATCCAAACTGGTGCGAGGAATATCAAGACACTTACCCCGTATCAGGCATCACACCGGGCTGCATTCCTGCATATTGCGCAGCTGCAACTTGTGGCATTTGTGAGGGAGTCGGCTGCATCGCTGACGCTACCATCTGCATTTGGCCTAGTTGATGAGCTAGTTGAGCCATCTGAGGTCCTTGCCCTATCGGCTGTTGCTGTACCTGAGCAGGAGCCATTCCAGAAGGTCCTGCTACATTGGGATCGTACCGTCCTGCATAGGGTTCATACTGGCGATCTTCCCGATAGCTCTCGTCTCGGCGCTCTCTCCGGTAGCCTTCTCTGTCTTCACGAGGGTATTCATGACGTCGCTCGTATTCCCTTCGCTCCTCTCGCCTTTCTTCTCGCCGTTCTTCCCGATCGCGCCGATCCTCTCTGCGTTCATCTCGGCGGTCAAAATCCCTTTCGCGCTCTCTTTCCCGCTCCCTTTCTCGTTCGTAGCCACGGTCCCGGTACTTCTCACCTCGGTACTCTTCCTCATCTCGGTAATCTCGGTGATATTCGTCACGCATGGATCGTGGATCGCGGAATTCGCGCATATCCCGTGGCTCTCGCATGTCCCTTGGCTCACGCATATCCCTAGGCTCGCGTACATCTCTTGGCTCGCGCAAGTCTCGTATATCCCTCGGCTCACGGATTTCCCTAGGCTCACGCATTTCGCGGGGATCCCTTATGTCTCTTGCGTCCCTATACCGATCGTCGTAGTCCCTTCTGTATTCATAGTCTCGACCATTGCTCCTGCGGTATCGCTCCACCCTCGTGGCCGATGCTTCCCTACGTTCAATTTCTCTTCGGTCGAGAGAAGCAAAATGGGAGGAAGCAGGCGGTCGATCGTGAACCCTTCTGTCTCCAGCATGGTCGTAGCTGCGCGACTTCAATGAGCCCCATCGCATCCTTCGTAAAGCTGGTTCTGCTGGCACCGCTTCTGATCGCGTCCTTCTCGGTAGTAGATCATCTTTAGCGATCTCAATAACCATGTTGGACGGAACTAGCCCAACACGATTACCTATCTGTCCATGGTAAAAACCATCCGGATCGACTTCACCGTATACCTAAATTATGCAATGCAGCAATAGAAAAGTGGAAACTTTTACATGTCATAAATTAAATTGATTTCTTATGCGCACGTATGTAAATAGAAAAAACAGCGTAAAAGAGATCTATAAGTTGCAGGCAATGACTAATAAGCGACCACTCAAAGTTTCTTAACCCCAGGTTGTTTGCAATGCATTACCTCTTACCTCTCTGTGAATTGATGCTCATCCGTAAAATGCAAACTCAAGTGATAATTTGGAATTGGTATACTTGATAAAAGAAATAGAGAGGTTGCCATAAATCGAGAAGATGTTGGCGATTCTTGGTTTTCCTGCCTATTGTAGCCAATTCAGCAGCTTTATAGTAACCAACTCAGAAGAATGTTTTCTAATATCTAATTCCTCAACTTGAAGATGGTAATTTTGAATTTGTGCTACTGTCAATTTTGACAAAGAATATGAAGCCTCATAAAAAAACAAAATCTATAGATTTAGCTACTAGAATCTAGAGTTAGCGCAGGACAAACCAATACTGAATACATAGTGTTGTAGTTAGATTTGTACCTTAATTAATTGATGCTTCCTAAAAGATAGCTCGTCTGCTTCAGCGTTCGCATTCGGCGACATGTGATGTGAATAGTCGAACAGAGCGACAAACCTGAAAGAGCGAAATCGCATGCTAAACATCTACTCCACGCTTAACGAGAAAATTTGCTCACCATCGACAGTCATCTTCAAGTGTTGGAGGACGTAAGTCAGGCTCACTTCTTGTGCCAAATCCACTTTCGCTTTTAACCCTGGCTAATCGCGGTGGAACAAGCCTAGAAAGACAATAGTTGCGAATTGCACAAGGTCGATGATGTACTGTGAAGAAATTGTTAAGAAGAAATAATGGTGTAGAGTCAGAAAAATAATTACCTATGCCTTGCCGGAGGTCGATCGTCGGCACTTCCTGCGCGTGCAGACTGTCGAGCGTATGCTTCCATCCTCATTCGGGGATCCATCGGTCCTGCCCACTCAGACTGCCCTGCCCATTCCGTTTGGCGATGTCGTAATAGGTAACTAAAACTCACGCATTTTGAAACCAATCTCTTTCTTGTCTAGAATGAGTAGAAGGAAAGCAATAAAAAATGGGCAATCAGTAAATAGAATTTACCTGTTCTCCATATCGGGAACAGAAGGTCGTGGTTCGTCTGCAGATGTTCCTTCGCCCCGGATTAGTCGAGGATGAAACGTGTAGTATTGCTTCATTTGTGACGTCTTCCACTGAAAATAAAACTTAATTACCTTCAAGGGTTAAACATTCACCCCTGCGGGGATAGATCGTTAGTTTAAGATGGAAAAAGAATTGTAAGGGTTTTAAGTACTTTCTAGAGAGACCAGCGAAAGTGACTCAACCAGCGTGGATTTACAAGCCGACAACATATGTTGACGTGAGTATGATATTTGTTATGCGCATATCTTAAAGTCTGGTCTCCATATCAGCATACACTAAGAGGCGACTCACCTTTGGAAGTGTCCCCTGAGATGTCGGCAGCGCTCCTGCGATGGAGGTGGGGCCGAGTGCCGTGGACATCGGTAGAGTGCCGGCAGAAGCGTTCATGCCGCCTGGCAACGTACCAACACCCATCGCAGCCATTGGCAGCGATGTGGTGGGTAGCTGGCTGGCCCCCGGCATTGTGCCAACCATCGCCTGACTACCTAGAGCTGCTGCTGTGGCTGAAGATAACCGGTCGTTACCGACTAAACTATTGTATCCCTGAATAGCTGAGGCAGTGTACGAAGAAAGTGGATTAGTTTGAAAGGGCATGGAAGTGAGCATTGGTGGGGCAGTGTACGGTGCAGTCTGTGGTCCGGAAAGAGGTGCAGCGTAGTGACCGGTCGGGTAAGACTGCGCCATTTCTAACAAAGGAGCTGTCTGAAGCAGACCGTCAGAAGCAGTTCCAAAGGGAGGGCCACGAGGTACGCGAGCTACGTTTGAATCGCACGAAACCGCTCCCTCCCGAGTTCGCGTACGGACGGTGATAAAAATTGGAGGATCGTCTGAGAGATCGGCTAGCCGCAAAAGAACGTGGTCAGCTGTAAAGGTCCATGTGAATGATGGAACTGCTGGGAATACGAACTAAAGTAATCTACCTGTAGCCGAAGGCACCTGAGCGATGTTCTTGCCGTCGGCGTAGATCAAATATGAATGTACGGCAGCTCGCGACGGTGGCTTTGGCTGATTTGTCACAGGGGTCCACGAGACAAGGAGGGTGCCAGCTTGAGGTCCGTTCTCAGCTTGGACGTTCGTCGGTGGGTCAGGTAAGCCAACTGGAATTTATCTCTTTATTTCGAACGCAATACATTCTAACATATTGACTATTCGAATCCCAAACGTTTTATTCATATGCATGCTCGTATATGCAATCACATTCAGAATGATTATTTGGAATCATCAGATAAAAGGCTTTGTGGAATGTAAATATTTTGTTGAAAAATGGAAAATAAAGTAGTTATTTCTGTTATGGAAACGAAAAACAAAGTAAATTGGAGATCGAATCGGATTTCGATATAGCATAAAAATTAGGCAAATTCCTTGGACCATTTAGATTAGACAGTCTTTTGGACGTTT